ATCACTTCAGAATCCTGTCTCTATGGAAGTTTTTTCCTGTTTGAATGATGACGGTAGGTAGGGATTGGAGGCGCGCTTCTCTCTTACAAAAGAACTTAAAGAAAAACTCAGCTCGCATCGATTAATTCTTTATTTGAGGATGTAAGAGTCGGCGATCTTTCAAGTGTTCAACCCTCTCCCACGCCTTCCCGGCGGTTGCCAACGCGATGACGCGCGAGAGGCGTCCGTCTCAGGGGCGAGCGCGGTCCCGGATCAGCCCCCTTGGGCGGCGCGGCGCGGCGCGGCGCGGCGCGGCGCCAGAGAAGGAAGGGCGGGGAGAGGATAAAGGAGCAATCAAATTTACCGAGACGGTTCACAATAGATAATGACATGTCGTATCTAGAGGCGGCGGCGGCGACGGCGGCGCGGCCGCGCGCCCGCCCCACCTCTGGCCTGGTCGCCCCCGCCGGTAATGAAAACAACGCGTGTCGAGGATTAATCGAAGCGGCGGCTGGCAGCGAGCGGTAGAGTGGAATGGTGAGCGGGCCGGAGGGAAAGAGAACTGATAGGGAGCAGGGGCATTGTTTGCGACGTCGGGTCGTGGGCTGGCAGTCGGGTCGGAGGCTGGGCAGTGGGTGGAGGCTGGCAGTGCGGAGTCGGAGGCTGGGCCCAGTCGGGTCGGAGGCTGAGGCAGTCTGGTCGGGTCGGAGGCTGGGCAGTCATGGTCGGGTCGGAGGCCTGGGCAGTCTGGTCCGGGTCGGAGGCTGGGCATCTGGTCGGGTCGGAGGCTGGACAGTCTGTCGGGTCGGAGGCTGGGCATTCTGGTGGCCGTCGGAGCTGGGCAGTAGGTCGGGTCGAGGTGGGCAGTCGTATGTGTCGGGTTTGAGGCTGGTCAGTCGAGTCGAGTCGGGTTCGGGTCGGATGGGTCGGTTTCGGGTCGAGGTCGGAGGTTGGTTCAGTCGGGTCGGGTTGGAGGTTGGTCAGTCGGGTGGGGTCGGAGGCTGGTCAGTCGGGTCGGGTCCGTTCGGGTCGGAGGCTGGTCAGTCGGGTCGGGTCGTCGTCGGCCAAGGCGGAGTCGCTAGCAGAGGTGTAGGCCCCTGCGCAACGTGAGTCGGCGCGTTGTCTTTCGCGCGTCCGCACTAATGACTCGCGGTGATCTGCAACAAGCGCCCGCCCGCCCGCCTCGGCAGCGCGCGGTCGTTGCATTCGAACGCCCCACCTGCCGCGCGCGGCCTTGCGTCCCATGGCCGGCGCTTTGTGGTCCTCCCAGCAGCTGTCCTCGGCACCTCGCGAGCGCCGCTTGCAAACAAATAGCACGCCAATTATGGAAGCAGCCCGATAGATAATATCATTAATTCCATTCAAAGTTGAAGGAAGAACATGAGAAAAATTGAATAATTAAGCAGTCATTTGCAAAGATTTCAACATAATGAGCGAAGTCCGATCTGGAGAATTGGGTCAGTATAGTTTTGAATATAACTATTGCGGGTGAAGGATTTTCTGTAATTTGCAATAAAATATTTGTTTAGGAAGCCGCTTTTGAACGATCGATGAAACTGTATTTTCACATCTAAAGAAAGAAGAGAATATTCCATTTATGAGAATATGAGTTATTTTCTAAGTATTCACTTATCGTTGACTGGATTGTTCGAATGGAGCGCATCATACCCACATTTGGGAAAGTATACATGCCATTTACTGAAAATTTATGTTTTTATATCCACCTGTTACAAGTGATCTTCTGTTTTTGAATTTTATTTTACTTACGATACATTATCTGAGGAATTTTGATTCAAAAGTAAATATTAAGTAAATGTGCATGCTTCATGTATCCATCAGGGTATTTTAGTAGATTAAAATTTAAACAATTCTTATTTATTCGTGGAAAATTTGTTAATATCTTCGGCTTGGGGTTTCGTCATTTCAACCACTAAATGCATGTAGAAGTCTAAGGAATCGTAAATTTAAAAAATAGACTTCAGTTGCTTGCGCACTGTATTTCAAAAGACCCACCACCCAGGTGCGTGAAAATGCTGGGCCAAGGCTAGCGTGGTCCCCGGAGCGTTTCCGGGGAATTTTATGACGATTCGTTCTGGTGCCGGATAAGGCGTCGTCGGAGGCGGCTACTGCCTGGCAAGGTCTTCGAAACTGAAGACGCGCAGGTGGATGAATTAAGCAGCGCAAGGAAATTAAAGAGCGTACCCTTGTCCTTGAATAAGGACAAAGCCCCCCTCTTGCTTCAAAGGTTATGCAATATGCGCCAACCTCTCTTATTGGCCTACACTTGGCCGACCAATTTTAGGCATAGACAATGCGGAGTTCGTGAAGGTGGTAGGTCGTCTGACTGGCTCACAATATCGATACTTTAAAAAAACAACTTAAGGCAGATCACATAGCCGACACCGACACCCCAGAACCTAACCAAACCTAACTCAGATTTGGTAGAACGCTTATGAAACGAAACTCTGATATCGGGGATACATGCGGAACCCTTAAAGCGACCCTATTCACAAGGTGAATCGTAATATATTTCGTCTGGTTTTGTAATAGGCAATGTTCTGTAAAACTAAACCTCACAAAGCTTTGTTGGTTGACGGATTAATTGATAAGCGATTCCAGGCACGTCAATTGAGAAAGTCATTGTTCCCGTAAGTGTAGTACATGCTCATCGCGTGAGGTGGCGGTGATCTGCTGCTGGACGATGAAATCGTCGCTAACTTTCAGGCAGTTTCCGAATCAGGTATCTCCCATCGACGTGGCACCGCCCTTGTGGTGTGGTAGGGACGTGACTGTAAGAGCAAGCGTGTTCGTAAGGGTTGAGGATAAGACAAGGAAGAGAAGGAAAATATTGCGAACTGCCGGGTTGGTAGGGTACTGCTCTGGCATTCTCCTGGTGTTGATCAGAGAAATCATGGAAAACTACCGATCAGAGCAGCCGGCCGTTAGAATTTTCCTCCACTCGACGCTTTGGAATAACACTTCTGATTTCGGGAACTGGACTGCAGTCCCTCTCACCGGAAGGTCCTAGGTTCGAGTCCCGACGGTGGCAGGATTTACGACACTGGTTCTTAGCTAGGACGAATTAGGTCGAGGAGAATTCTAGCGACCGGCAGCTCTGATCGGTAATTTTCCGTGGTTTCTCCGATCGACATCAGGCGACTGCCGGGGCAGTACCCTAACAAACGAGCCACGGACCGCGCGATCTCACTTTCCTCTTCCTTGTCCTATCCTCACCTCTTACACACACACCACTAACATGCAGTACACAACCACACATGCCGGGAGACCCGTCAGGAGCTAAGAGCGAGTCCCGGCTGCGATGATGCCCTGCTGGTGGGAGATACCTGGTTGGGGAAAACCCCGCTAGCCGACGGTAGGTCGACGGTAGGATCTCACCATACAGCGGGGAAATATCGCCACCACCTCCCGAACACAAAACATGCATTATACTTACGGGACTAATGACCCTGCTAGTTGACGTGCCCAGAATCACTTAACAACCAATCAATCAATCGGGAACTAGAGGCCCCTGAGGGATGAGTTTAAGCAGAAGTGGCCCGCGGGTGGGTCCGGCGATCGGAAGCCCTGCGCGGCGCCCAATTCCGGCGACCTCTCGCGGCGGCGGCGGCGGCGGCCACGGCGGCCTTGGCGGAGGTGCGCCCGCTGCGCCTTATAAGGGAGCTCCAAGGCGGCTGCACCGGCGGCGCGGCGGGCGGCCACGGCGAAAGGGCGCCGCGCTGGCGACAGCCCCGACGGCGGCAGCGCGAGGCAGCGCGGCGGGAGCCCACGCGCAGGAAACGGGGGGAAAAGGGTCTCTCGGAGGGCGGCTGAGGATAAGAAGATGGAGTCTCCGAATCAGAGGTACAGGAAACGGAATGGAAATGAAGGGGGGGATGGAAGTAGAGAAGGTGAATAGGAGGAGGAGCAATAGGAGGAGGAATAGGAATAAGAGGAGGAGAAATGAGAATAAGATGAGGAGAAATAGGAATAGGAATAAGAGGAGGAGAAATGGGAATAGGAATAAGAGGAGGGGGAATAGGAATAGGAATAGGAGGAGGAATAGGAATAGGAATAAGAGGAGGAGGAATAGGAATAGGAATAAGAGGAGGAGGAATAGGAATAGGAATAAGAGGAGGAGGAGGAATAGGAATAGGAATAAGAGGAGGAGGAGGAGGAATAGGAATAGGAATAGGAATAAGAGGAGGAGGAATTGGAATAGGAATAGGAATAGGAATAAGAATAGGAGGAATAGGAATAGGAATAAGAGGAGGAGGAATAGGAATAGGAATAGGAATAAGAGGAGGAGGAATAGGAATAGGAATAGGAATAGGAATAAGAGGAGGAGGAATAGGAATAGGAATAGGAGGAGGAATAGGAATAGGAGGAATAGGAGGTTGGGGTTTTCCCGAACTAGGTATCTCCCACTAGGGGGTCTGGTGTCAAAATTCCTGTCACCGTCGGGAATCGAACCCTAGGACCTCCCGGTCTGAGGCACTGCATTGAGTAGTTGTGAGGAGTGGGCAGTGAGGGGGTCCGCCGTGTGGCATTGAAAGCGCAGTCCTTTTAGACTTCTTTTCACCGCCGGCAAGAAGAGCGAAGAAAGGTGCACTCGACGCGTTCTCGAAATTTCGCCGCCGCAACCGCCCTCGCCGCCGCCCTCGCCGCCGCCCTCTCCGCCGCCCTCTCCGCCGCCCTCGCCGCCGCCCTCGCCGTCGCCACCGCCACCGCCGGGGCTTTCCTCCTCGAGGCTTCTTCGCGATCGCTACTTCCGCCCGCCAGTCAGGAAGCGACGCCATGACCGTCCTTTTTTGGCAGTCTTTTGGGTAGAATTTCCGAAACGAAATTTTTTTTTGCTTGCTGTCCGTTTTCGGCGAGTCATTGCTGTTGTCAGAGGCCTAGGGGGTCGTTTGTGGTTACCCGACGCTTTCTACTCGGGAGAGGAAGGGGGAAGGAAACACGGAAGCAAAGGTCGTATTACTGCAGGTCATTCCTTGTTCAGAACCGGTCTTCGTTCGCTGTTGATGATTCGCTTATGTTTGCTGTACATGTGGGTGAATCGTGTTCAAACTCATCGTTGCATTGAGATGTCTAGTGATGACGGAAAAAGTTAAGCGAGTTGGGAGTTTTTGTGTCATATCTTGGCTTGTTCTCCATCATTTTAAGACTGTAAGGATAACGACCTTTTTAAACTAATGAACCTGAAAATTAGTTAATATTGCTGCCATCAAAATAAATAGCATTGACGATAATGTCAACTGATGCATTTGGCATGCATTTGGCATGCATTTGGCATGCAACTGTCATGCATTTGTTGAAGATGATGAAATGGGATTTGTTTTTCCTTTCAGCAGAATATCGACTTACAGATTTAAAAAAATGGTCAAATATGAAATGAAATAGTCGTACTGTTCCAAAATACAATCCCTATACACAAGATTCAAAAGCATTTCAAAATTTGCATAATCGTAGGCATGTGTATTTCGAGTAGAACATTGATCTTGGTTTCATAGATGAAGTCTTTAGGTTTCTGTAAGTGACAGCTGACTATATCTTCATTCTTGACTTCAATAACCTTACATGCGTGGACAAGTCATGATTATTGTAGAATGAATTTATGGACGATTGGTATCGCAGCTGACAAGTGGCGGATAGTTTTCAACAACCTGCCATGACTGTAAATCTCATTCGACGAGTTCGAAACGCTTCTTTCGCAGAATAATATATTTCCTAGGAAATGAAACTTCTTGAACGAAGCCGCTCTCAGCCACTGGTGTATTTGTTCTTGGAAAGTTTACTACTATTTCCAAATGTATCGTTTTTTTGTTGTCCTTAAATCAATTGTGTATCCTCGCTGTATGTGACTTTCTCCTTCACGTAGCACGAAGGAAATGCTGATGTTTATTAGAAATATTTTCACGCTGAAATTATTTTGAAACTGCAATATTTTCGAAAGAGACAGACAGATAATTCTATTTTTAGAAACGGTGTTGACATGAATGAACATGCCATTCCGCATTATCCGATATTAAATGGGTTTGACAGCTCGTATTAAAATCCTAACAAAATAATCTGTAGATTTACTATTTAGAATCATATACTTTTTAAAATATACCAGTTTATAGAAAATTACTCACTGTCTTCCTGTGTCTTTTTATTTGTAAACGTTTTTTTAATCTAAAACGTAAACGTAAATGCTAAACGTAATAAGTTAATACTGGACTGTGTTAGGTATCCTCACAACTACATTTTTAAACTTCTACCGTTTTCAGGTTTTCATATTTTCATTTTTGACAGAAAACTAGAAATTGAGCGATTATTGTCTTACATATTATTACATTGTTTTTATGCATTGATTAACAGACTGTAATTCAGAATTCGTAAACGATAGGTTATTGTCATCCTTAAGTATTCAACGAATTTCCATACTGGCCACATAGATTTTTTAAGACAGGTTTCTGAATAATGCATATGACAAGAATTTTATAAGAAGACATTAACTGAGGCAAGGAGTATCGATCTTTTATAACTTGTGCTTCCAAATAAGGGGAAATCTCTTATGTCCGACCAAGTAGAAGAATTAAAGACTTGTGTCAATAATACTAAGTTGAATTAAGAATGGATTTAAGTATCACGATTCGATATGATGAGTCCAATAATTGATGCATTCGTTTGAAACTGACATTAATCAAGTTCAATAAAGAAAAAGTGAATTGTAAATTGAAACTGTTGTTTACAACAAATTTTCTATTATGTTTTAATTGTGAATGAAACGTAATCGTTTTTGTTTGTTTTATATGATTGATAATTTATAAAACGCTTTTGATAATTTAAATTCAAATACTCAAATTCAACTCATTTAACTCATTCACTCAAATACTCAAATTCAACACATAGGAGTGCATTGTAAATGGAAGTGTTGAAAGTTTTAATAAATAAATATTTTCAACCTTTAATCTAAATAACGGTTGAGTTTCAGCTTCTATGAGTGTATGTTGTGCTACAAAATGAGATTTGTATTACACATTCTGTGGATTTGAATTATAAGATTCTGAAAAACCCTAATATTTTTTACTCAATAACTTGATCTCTTATGAAGGGTACTTCTATGATCCAAATTCTATTTTAATATGCAAATATTAAAATTTTCAATGGATAAAATATTAGTTTAAACTATTTATATCCTAATTTCGATAGTTTCATGGTCTGTTTAAAAAAAAACCTATCGACTTTGGAACACTCATTTGCAGACAAGCCATGTACTTCCAGAGAGAAATGGCATTTGAAGAGTAGGGAGAGGTGTAACGTGTGCGTGCGGGGACGCGCTGTGTGTGTAGGAGCCGCGCTGTGTGTGCAGAAGCGACCTGAAAAAGAAAAAGGAAAAAGAAAAAGGGGGAAAAAAAGAAGAAAAAAAAACACACACACATTACCGTTCGAATGCATCATTTTAGTGTATAATAATTACCCATTCTATACTACCCCATCTATAATTATTTACTTTTAGTAACCGTTAGCGGTTGTTAGTAATAACTTATTTATTATTTTCTTTTCTGTCTTGCCACTACACATTATGGACTTAATTGCGTTTTCAATTGTTTTACAAAATAATACTTATGTATTTTCTACAACAAACGAAAATAATCATTCAGTGCAATTAATACCGTTACACTGAGAATGTCGCTACACTAATTCAAAAAATTCATATTGAAAATCTAATATATTGATCGTATACTCCCTTTACAAGTAGGACTTTTTACATGTAAAGAACACAGTTTTTATTGCTGTACTTATCAAGTTATATTCAAGTTATATTTTTCAAATCTTCTTTTGGGCATAAAATATTCAAAGACGTATTATTTTTCATTGTAAGTAGCAGTTGATTATGTATATTATAATCACAACAATAAAGACTGAATTTCTTGCTTTAAGGTTATTTTATTAATTTTAGTTTTACAAATTAAGTTAGAAGTTCTGCTACGTACACGTAACAGTGAAATATTTGTTCGGTTTTACGATTATCTCTTCTTGACAAAATATTTGTAGCAGTTTGTGTGTGTGTTTGTGTGCAGGAGCCGCAACCTGTGGCACGGGGAATCGAAGCAGCGCCAGCGCCACCGCCTCCGTCAGCGCCGCCATGACCAACCTCAGCCGCATTCGCGTCGTGGTGCTGGGCAGCGCCCGCGTCGGCAAGTCAGGTAAGCACGCCTGCCTCCCTCCCTCCTTTGAAATGTCACTAGAATTAAGGCACTCGACGGTAAAAATGCCGCTGTCGAGTGGGCGGAAACAGGGGTCCAGAAGCAGCAAAAATCGTCTGTTCCGAAACTTCACAGGTGAATACTGAAGCTTCGTTCTTCCTCGTGGCACGACGTCGTCTGTATCTGTATAGTAAGGAGTGAAGCATTCATTATGAGAATATATACTCATATCATCAGGTATGAGAAATAGCGGATTAACATTTCTGATATTTGCTTTGTCTTAGTCAAAATCGAAAGATCGTAGGCTTTCACGGCCCGAGTCAATATCAGAGAAAGTTTCCGAGCTGGTAGGCCATGGTCCAGTTGGCGGTGAAGGGCCGAACGTTTCGACCACGGCTGCGGTGGACATCCTCAGTGGCGGGAGGGTCTCGGGCGCAGTATCCGGGACGGCGACTGGCTGGCGAGTTTTTTCTTTTATATCCTTTCTAATGTACTTCTTATTACGTTCCCCTTGTTTTTCATTATTGAATTAATGTTTACCTTAAAACTTCGCACAATAATAATGATCATTTGCGTTTTCACGAAAACCAGAGGGGTTGTGCTCAGCTGTTTATAAATTAATTTTTGGCACATTTTGAAAGAATGGAGGCGCATTTTGAAGGGATGGAAGCGGTAGTTTACCGTTACCATTTACAGTATCTGACACGATAAAACTCCTGCATTCTTAATTATGTTTGATTTCGATCAAGCTGAATTTGACTTCGTCACCTGTATTGGCGGATTAATTTTAGAGGTTTCACAAAAATTAAATGTTCGTAGCATTCCATGTTCGTGACTACATTCTGTTTTCAGACGTATTGTGTTGTGTGACAAGTATTTCTCATAGGTATAAGATGTTCTTATGCATAAAGAATGTCTTTTCTTTATTGCAGTACAATGGAACTTAATTTAAAGGTTTTACATTCGTTTTAATCTATTTGTACGTGATTTACTTTGGATTGTTTCTTTCTATTTGTAAACATCAGAAGAACTGGCACCTAGAACGTTGAGCCTGTAAAAAGGTTAACCCATTTTAACCTAAGGCAGAAAAAACAACGAACCATTATTACCACGCTGATCGTTTAGACACCTGCAGAAAAAACTATCTTGAAATCTTCATTAACATAAACAGCAGGCGAGGAACTGCTAATTACGTGCGGAATCGTATTAACCCATATGCAATCTTCTTACAAGTTTGAGGATCGGGAAACTCCACAATGAAACACTTCCGAGAAATTCGAATGCCCCCGACGAACAAACGACGAACTGCGTCGCGAGTGGCACGCGTCGATCGCACGGCGAGCGCGGGGCCTGCTTCCGAGGCGCGCGCCCGCCCCAAATAAGTCCGGGTTGATGGTTCATCCCGCTAGTCGAGGTAATGACGAGGCGCCGACAGCAGGCCTGCGTCGGGCGGCGCGGCGCGGCGTTGGCACGAGCGAGCTACTGACCTCTCGTCTCGTTTGCCAAGTGAAGGTGCGGTGCGGTGCGCTCTCGTGGGGGGCGGCGCGGGCGCGGGAGGTGGCGCGAGGCACAGGGCGGGCGTTGTGCGGCGCCGCTCGCGCCTGCGCGCGAAGTGTGTCGGCCGCCTCGGGGTGTTTCTTCACCCAGGGCGCACCTCTCCCCCTCCCCCTCCGTCTCCGTCATCCCCGCCCCTGGTGCCTCGCCGAAGACGCCGCCGACGCCGGCGCGACGCTGCTACTACCTGCTATACTTTCTTGTAGTGATACGATTTATTGATTGATTTGTGATTCAGGGTGCGTCAACTGCTAAGATCATTAATGCTGAAAGTGTAACATGTGTCTTTTTATTGCGGGAAGTGGCGGTGATTTTTCATCCGCTGGATGGCGATTTCCAGCACCGACCTACACGTCGGCTAGCGGGGATTTTCTCCAAAGAGGCAACTCCTCCAGCGGCGAACTGACCCAGCCGGGAGAAGCTCCCAACTTGTACGTGTGGTAGTGTAATGCCTGTTTGTGTGTGTGTGTGTGTGTGTGTAAGGGGGTGAGGATATGACTAGGAAGGGAAGGAAGGATCGCGCGCGGTCCGTGGCCCGTTTGTGAGTCAACTACCCCGACATCGCCCGGTGTACTACGGAAAACTACCGATCAGAGCAGCTGGCCGTTAAAATTCTCCTTCAGATAGCGATAGCACTCTAGCCAACTATCTAACTGGTGTTGAAAAACCTGCCACAGTCGGGTCTCGAATCCAGGAGCTCCCGGTCGGTCAGAGGCACTGCAGTGACATGAAATCATGCCCTGAGCCACCTAAGCCAGTCGTGATATGGAGAACGGCATAACATATTTTTGCAGTGCAGGCGATAGGAACCTGGAAAGCGTGACGCGACGTGTTAACCAAATGTGAATATTCTGAATTTTAATTAAACAGGGTGGAAATGTAACACAATACTATGACAGATTAATCTGGGATTACACTTTTCTAAACACTATTTCGCTGGTAGAAACTGAAGTCTGATATGTATTTCCCTCTTAGTTTTTAATAACCTTTTTCGGTTGCAAGTAGTCAGCCCTGGCAGCCATTTTAGTGTTAAGCGATCGAAAATGCTTAAAAAAACAATGATAGATCTAAGACTGAAATTTAATTGACTACTGAGAACATCATAAATCTTTCACTACTTCCTACTTAGTATCTCATGATTTCCCACATTTTATCTCTAGCATATCTGATGCAGTTCATTCCCAAGAAGGTAAAGCGGGACTCTATTAGCCGTTACGTGGCCCACAAGTGGAGAAATGAAAACAGCCCAGGGGAACATTTCTTTTAAATCCAATAGAAAGTGGAGTGCAAATGCTTACTACCTACCGGCTACCTAGGGGTAAACACGCCGCTAGCGCAGCGCTTCCCGCTGCCCGCCAAACCGAATCTCCTCCATACCGTTCCAGCACTACATTTCTTTCGCGCCACGAGGCAGGCGTCGCTTCGTCCTCGCGCCACATCGTCTCCATTTCACACTGGCCCCGCTTCACACCAATCTCGCTCCGGCAAAGGAGGCTCAGTTAATCAATTGGTTCAATTGCAGTGTCTATGACCGGAACGTCCCCGTCTGCAGTCCAAACATTGGCAGGATTTTCCATTCTAGCTTCATAGTTGAGTTCAGGCAGTGTGTAGAGGTTAATTCTAGTGACCGGCTACTCAGTTCGGTAGTTTTTGGTGGTTTCTCCTGTCAACACTAGGCGAATGCAGGAGCAGTACCCTTACAAACGGGTCAGGGTCCGCGTGTGATCTTTTTTTCTTCTTCCTTGTTCTATCTCACCCCTACTTAAACCCTGCTTCACACTTACACTCACATGCACTATACTACCACACGTGCTACGAGATCAGTCGGGAGCTCAGAACTTGTTCTAAGCTTGCCGGGAACTGAGGCGGTGTTCCCCTAGTGGGAGATACCTGGTTAGGGAAAATCTCCCCAAGCCGACAGGGAAGTGGGCCATCTCGCCATCCAGCGGGCGAAGATCACGGCGATTGTCCTCTCCCGCGGTAAAAAAAATGTACAACCCTTTCGGGACTAATGACCTTAGCAGTTGACGCTCCCGGAATCACTAATGGATGAATCAATGCATGCCATTCTTGTTCCTCACCGTTCCTGCTCCACGTCATCCTCTGTGGACTCCCACCACGCCTTCTCTGCGCCTCAACGATCCACCGCTCGTCAAACCGCCCCCCCCTCCTCCCCGCCCGCATCGCCGACGCCCGCGCTCTCGCATGGACCCGATGTTTGGTCCGCGCTGCGCAGCGCCGCCGCGGCTGGCCCTCGGATATTTATTTTCGCCGCTCTATTCCAACACTGGAAGGAAGGGGTCTCTTCTCCGACCGCTTGACTTGGAGAAGGTGAAGGTCCAAGTGTTGGCCAACTTCTCCTCGCTCCTGGGAAACAAAATCGTACACGGTGCGGCGTGGGAATCGCCCACACAAGAGGCTGCATTTTCTCACTTGCCCTTTTCACTCTTGGTTTCTTTCTTATTTCCATGTGCCTTGTAAGAAAGCAAACACGCTGACTGGTCGTAGTTCTTAGACGAAAATGCAAGACATACGATTTCGGTTATCCGATCTCATTGTTTTCAAGTTATGCTTCTCCCAATATGATTGGAGTGAAAGAATAAAAGAAAACTAAACAATTGTTGGATGTTTTCCTACTTCTCTTTTTTCTTAATCAGTTTCCGACTGTTGACCCATCCTATTATCTTCCGGGTCTTTATGTCAACGCAGAACACTTCAGAGACCCGAGAAAGGAAAGGCTCGTGTACCTATATTAACGTTAGAAAACCATTAATAATGTTAATATTATGTGTAGTCGTTGTACAATATTGACAATCACGTTTATTTTGTGTTGATTTAAAATTGTCAGTCATTGTTTTTGCGGATGAGAAGTTTATTCTCAGTACGGAAGTAGGTTAATGAGAATTCATTTTGTTCGTGGGTTGTGATGTGCGGATTAACGATTGGAAGTGCAAAGTTCAAGAAGAGGAAGGCGGTCAATGGCATTTGGTAAGCAATGCGACCATGAAGGAGCACACGATAATGCACAATCATCTGTAATGTGTGAACACTTATGGAAATGGGGACTGCGAAAAAAATGAAGTACACATTGTGAAGCAGTACTCCTTGGGACGCAAGTGCATGGTGTTTTTGCCTTCAGGAAATACCATTCGAAGTGGGCGTGATTGACACTGATTCGAAGGTGATGTCAATAGTGTCATAAGACATGATACTGAGCCGGGTTTCGGCCCCAAAGTTCTTTTTATCCACCAAAATACAATATTTTATTTGTTGTAAGCACATTTTTGAAGTTATTTTATATTTTTGTTAAGTCAGTGTGAACAAAGCTAGAAACTTTTTAAGTTAACATAATTTGTAATTTTTGTAATTTTATTGTGGTTGGTGCACAGGTGGTTTGCTTTGCATTGCTTTTCCCGGAATTTACATGTTGTTTTTTCACCCCCTGAGCCGGAGTCACGTGATGGTCTCTATCGCAAGTTTGTTTATTTTATTTGAGTTCTACCAGCACGAATAGTTACACATTTCCATTCCACTAATAGAACACACACGCAATTACAATACAACTATGAAATCATCTAGTAAGGATGCTTGCTTCTCTGATTACGGCACATTGTGTGCACCTTTTTTCATTTCGCGATGGTTTCCTCTGGGCGGTTCTGTGGGTTTGCTGAGAGTCGCGGAGTCACATCAAGTCCCACCACCCTCCCCTCTTCTTGTTCTTCGAAAATATCTCCTTAGGCAGGTTACTTTCAGTACTATCTACAACATATTATAAATATGATTTTTACTTGTTATGCTACATTCAAACCATGAAATAATAACGTCGCGGGCACTTAAACATTTTGTCGACCATTATTAGTTCTAAAATGATAAGGAAGGTAAGGATTAGTAAGAATCAAAAAAAATTGGGGCGAAGAGGGGCAAAAGATGTGAAGTATTGATTATTTGGTAATGTTTGTCTCAAACTATATGTAACGTTATTATTCCGTTTCGAATAAATTTCTAAATTTATTGTCAATATTGTATATATTTGAATAAATTAATAACTGCGACACAATTTAACCAATTTTAATCCATCTCACGCACCTTGTTAACTGCGATAAATATATTTTTTAAATGTCGCTTTAACTAAATTTCGGCCTAAGTACGAATATTTAAATCATGAAAACGGTCGCCCGCCCCGCTCGGCCTTGTGCCAAAGCCACTCATGGTGAATTCAGTGTAGTGTTTTCTCAGAAATTTTCAACTGGGACGTGATAGGAAAAGTTGGGAGGGCGTGAGGGCCTACGAGCTACCGTCTCAACGCTGTCGTGGAGTGGCTCGGCTCTCTAACCTGGACCGTGCACTGATGGGCTGAAGGGCTTCCACCGGTTCGAGGTTTAATTTAGATATTTGATCGAGTAAAGTACCGACGTGTTCCTTCGGCGTGTGGGTTGGGGAGATTGATTGATAGCAAGGTGGACGCACCTGGAGAGATCCATAACTCAGCTGGGGAGAGGGGGAGCGTCCGAATAGATCGAAAGGAGTACAAACATCAACTAGGGAAACCGGGAGAAGTGGCTCAGGGCATTAACTGATGTCACTGCTGTACCTCTGACCGGCAGGTTACACACACACTTACTTACATGCACTACACAAGCACACGTGCCGGGAGACCGGTCGGGAGCATAGAGCTGGTCCCGGTTTGGGCGGTACGGCGGTGGTGGAGATACCTGGTTGAGAAAATCCCCACAAGCCCACGTACGTCGGCATTGCATCTCGCTATCCAGCGGGGGAAGATCAGAGCCACTTCCCGTGGTAAAAAACATGCACTACACTTACAGGACTAACGACCGTAGCAGTTGACGCGACTGAAATCATATATAAACCAACCATAGCCCTTCGTGAGTGTGGAAGTGCGAGGCGTGGCGTGGAACGGCGGCTGGAGCGAGCGCGATGGCCGGCGCGGCAAGTGGGTCGGGGGTCCCGCCGCCATGTGGGGCAGGGCCGGCGCCGCGCCTCGTCTCTCTCCGCAGCCGGCGGCGGGCGAGGTCGCGCGCTTACGCACGCACGCACGCACGCACGCATACTCCCTCCCCGCGATGAGCTTTACGCTGCGCTCGCGAAATCTCGCTGGGAAGTTTCGGAACGCGCTTGTCCGTTTTCCGTCGCGCATCCTCTCGTTCTGTTTCTTTTTCTTTCTTAATCCCTGCTTCCCTGGGAGGAGATAGAGAAACTTGGATGAGACTAGTGGCTTAAGGTGAAGAAAAAGAATAAAGACGAGGATTACTGTAATCGCTTTCTATCTTCTCCCTATCCCCTCTTTTACACCTATTATCATCTTCCGTTTTTCATTTTCTTCTAATTTTCTTCCCAAGGAAGAAGAGCAGTGAGGAGATGATTTAGAGAAACGTGGATAATAACGACTTAAAGTAAAGGAAAAGAAGAAGACGTGGTAAAGGATTGAGGAGAGAGAGAAAGAGAGAGAGGAAAAGGGAGAAAAAGAGAGAGAAAAAGGGAGAAAGAGCGAGGGAAAGAGGGAGAAAGAGCGAGGGAAAGAGGGAGAAAGAGCGAGGGAAAGAGAGGGAGAAAGAGAGAGGGAAAGAGAGGGAGAAAGAGAGAGGGAAAGAGAGAGGGAGAAAGAGAGAGGGAAAGAGAGAGGGGGAAAGAGAGGGAAAGAAAGAGGGGGAAAGAAAGAGAAAGATATCCGTAATTATTTAATGAATAATTTCACAGTGATAACTAGCCCCATTACTGGCCGTTAAAACTGTTTAATTTTCCGTTACGTACGTAGTAAGTGCATTCAATACTTCTTTCAAGTGATGTATGATGCATTTGATTGCAAGTCCGGCGTTCAACCATACAGACTCTTTAATTTCCTACACTCAATAGTTGCAATTCACGTCTCGCTTTACCTGTCCAAACCGCTTCATCCATCTCTCTGCGATCCTAACCGCATCCTCACCCACCACTTCACCGGCGCTCCGTGCAATCACCGCGCGCCCGCGGGCATCCACGCGGACCGTAAGCCCTTTTCAACTCGCCACTCGCCGAGCGGCACACGTCGGTTCAAGTGCCCGACTGCTTTGTGAGGCGCCACTCGTCGGTCAACATACACATCGTCGGGCCCAGAGAGCGTTCTGTCACGTTGAGTTATAGGCCTTCATTCTGCATCCACGTGTAGCGGTAGTTTGGATGACGAGCTAGTGAATGGGAAGCGACCAAAAATCATTGATAGATGCAGAAAGAAATCGGTAAACCAGTTTTTTACAAGGTGAAGCGCTTAGGTGTTGATTTCAGTGTTGTAGGTTAGTGTGAGACGTAGAAACGATTATTTATTTTGCTGGTTTTTCCTCACGGAATCCAAATGCTGCTGATTAAATGATGATCCACTTCATCATTCTCTCTTTCTGCTACCATGGACTCCCTGTATCAATATGTTATTCGGCGACGGTATGCAAGGGATTCGCGGAATGATGTCAGGAAGTGTAGAGGACCAACGCGCAGTCACATTTCGTGCGTGAGAAGACGGTCGTGGTATGCAGAGAACAGGGTCGTGTTCGTAGCGGGGGCCGACACGCACACAATGTTACAGAAGAGCATGTAGTCACTTGTCTTGATTTCGTTTACGAGTCTGGAATGCAACATTAAAAATCGCCAAGGCAATAAAAAAAAAGGGTATGCTAATTGAAAAGAAGAAACGGCATATCACGCGAAACACAGTCTGCGGGATATACTGAGTCAGGAGCGCTGCGTGAAGCGAGATGAAAAAGCGGCTTTCTGGCGATTAAAGTAAATAGGGAAGCAAAAAAAGTAAGAAAAGAAAGAGGAACTCTGCAATTTGAGTTACATCCATAATTCAAGAAACTTTTATATTTCATATTCATATTAAATACCTTTTACCTTGTAACGAATTCCATTAGAAACCAGAGTTAGCCATGGGATGACGTTGCTTTTGGACAACTCTCTACATAAGATCAATCAAAGCTAAACTCTGATTTGAGGAAGGGAATATGAAATATGATGGAATTGTTTCTTTTGTGATAGCCGCTTTCCAGGGTCCTTCTTGCATTCACAGACAGGAAGTGGAAGTAAACACGTAAACACTTATTTCATTTAGCTTTTGTTTTGTGCCGGAGATTAACACAGAACTCGCCTTTTGCTGAAATATGATACATGTTTTCCCTCTTCCGTGAGCACTCCCTTTATAGTGGCGATTTTTATAATAATGCATTCCAAAACTATTCTCACAGAGACGCCTTGCTACAGTCTTCGGTCAAGCAAGGATAACGTTAAGTTACCCCTGTATCCACGCGTTAGCTGTGTGTCTCATTTAGGTTTTCCCCACTCCAAAAATCGGTTCGTTAGTTTTCATGCAAAAGATGTAAAGAAACAATATACCCAAATGTCATTTCTTCAAAGACCTTTGTTGTTTTGTAATCATATATTGTTAATTTTTATCTTATGGATAAGTATCCCCAAAACTGTGACAGTGCGATCATGTTGATGTCAAAAAAGTATAATTTAAATGAATAAATCAATCCTTACCGCGATGGCACGCCGCGGCGTGAAGAAAAAGTAAAAACAAACCGAGGAAAGGGTCGCTTCTATGATCACCAGCTGTTCTCGTACCTCTTCCGGCATTACCAGAGGAGGTAATATTTACTAAAGACCTTTTCCGTTTTATCTAGCGTTCGAATTTGATCAGGGCACAACCACCTCGAACACCCAAAATTCGCGTAACGAAGTGTACCCCCTGACATCTGCGCGGCTCATTAGGCTTCTGGCGCTCTCCGTCTTACACAATCGGGTCGTTAAGTGTCGCTGCGTGGCGCCGGGCAGGCCTTGAGCCGGGCAGGGCGAGCGCCTTGCGGCCTCCGCGGGCGCTTTCGCGTGGCGCGAGGTCCTTCGCCCAGGGGGGGCAATTCGCTCGCCGGGTCCTCGCCCCCCCCCTCC